TTTGTCTCTGTTTTGTCAAAGAATGACAAGGGTATTATTTATACAGAGATTTTGTCGGAAACCCACGGTAAGATTAAATTTAGTAATATTAACCAGTAAATCAATGGTTCGATTTTACATAACAGCTACACTAGACTAAAATTATGTCTGTTAATTATTACAATTATTTATTATAGTATTTAATAATGTTTGATGTATTTACAGTTTTACGTATAATTTGCATTACATGACCTTGAGGTGACCTTGAGATGTCCTACGCTCTACCACGTCAGTCAATACTCTGTCTACTAAATGTAAACGAATAGATACTTTACTTCTAAATAGTTAATAGGCAAAAAAAAGTGCAATTTCTTTTACACGTCTACAATTTATCAATCTCCAGTCATATTGAGTTAACTTTCCTGCGAGTAATTCCCCTTGAGAACGTCTGTCTGTCTGGCGCTGATTTCATTTATTAAGTATTTATTGTAGCTCTATCCATGTTCTGAAGAGGACACAAAAGACTGCAAGAGACGCAAAAGACTGCAAATGTTTGTAACTCAATTATTTTAATAACAGCTGACTGTACTTACTAATAGCTGTCGCCTGCGACTCTGTTCGCGGGAATTAAAATAAAACATACCTAGTCTATGTGTTCTTCGAGACTATTTTATATGAAGGCCAAATTTCATCTAGATCCGTTTATCCGTTCTGATACCTTCAAACATCCATCCATCTAAACATTCTCATTTATAATATTAGTAAGATAGCAAGTAAGATTAGTAAAGCTAGAAAGATAGTGAGTTCACTATTATTTGCCACAAAATAAAATCTTTTACTTGTACAATTAACCCTATAATGCATATAACATAAACAACCTCCTTCTTTTTAAAGTCTTCTAAAAATATCTTTAGCATATAGTTTTTAATACCCAAATTAAATTTATTAATAAATTAGACCTGGTCAAGGTTGCGGGACCGTCCTGGATGCAGGTGGTACAAGACCGGTCATCGTGGCGATCTTTGTGGGAGGCCTATGCCCAGCAGTGGGCGTCTCATGGCTGACAGGAAGGAAGGAAGGAATTAAATTTTATCGAACTATATTATGCCGTCTCAAATATAAAACTATCGAAGGCTCTTTACAAAATAAATACAAATCGAATTAAAAAATAAATCAACATAGTTACAGCATCGGTGTCAAGTGGTCCTCCAGTATTTTCAGACCGCAGCGAGCGATCCTTGTTACTGTATAAACCTAAAGAGGAAAATATTCATTTACAATTCATATTTTTAATACAGATGCAGTTTCATTCCTCAATATGATACTTAAAAGATGAGATGCGAAAATAAATAATAACATGACGAGGACGCACAGACAAAATGGAGAATCAATAGGTTCAAAAACTGCACAAAGTTTTTAACAGACCATAGTGAATTAATTGTAACATATCTAGAACTTTTAATACATACCTTATTTGGGGTCTCTAAAATATTTAAATTACGTAATAACTTTTTTTAGGAACACATCGAAGAAAAACATACAAAAAGTTGATATTTGTTAAAAAAAATACGTTACGCAGGGGTTGGACTACACAATATAATAGTTGTACCAAATAGATATGACGTAAGTATAAAAAAACAAGAAAGGAGTTAGAAAAATATAAATTCTCTCTTTCCCCTTTCCCCTACCATTAGAAATGCATCGTTCAAGTTTCCATGTCTGAAAGCGTAACTCGTAGTCGAGTGCCACTCGGCGTAGCAACTGTTCCGGGATCGCTACGAAGTGCTACAGTCTAGCTACGGGTGCTACGGGTTGCTATATACTAAAATACCGTCATCACTACAGTTGTCCCTACGGCATCAATGGCTTTATTTTCTTTCTCTTTTTCGCAATATATTGTATATAAGGTCCGATGATAACAGTCAGAGGTTTGTAAATCTACTTGGTATTATCCATGTAAATATATTATGTAAAAATGTTTCCAACCTTAACTAACATTCTTTTTACTCGACAATAACATTTCTTTGACCATTCAACTGTAGTATAATATCTTTTGTTAGTTGATTTATACACATTTTCAATCGCCTTTGCAACAGACACAGTGGATTTTTAATAAATGAACAGCGCGGCGTCAGACAGACCTTACCCGCGGGAAATTGCTAGTCTCCACTCGAGATAGCTGTTCGACGAGATCGCAGATTGAAAAATACTTGCCGTCTAAAGAATCGATTAAGCGAAAGGTAAAACTGACGCTATCCAATCGTACTGTCGCCGCGCCGTCCGCGCGGAATTAAAAAAAAAACTTATTTAGAAGCCTCTATGTTCTTCCACACTAAGCTCTACATCTATACCAAATTTCAGCAAGATCCATGCAGCCGTACTGGAGATACATTCTAACAAACATACATGCATCGAAACATTCGCATTTATTATATTAGTAAGATTTGCTTTTTTGCTATGGTTTGGTGTGTTCCCGTTACAATCTTAAAATAGATTATATTTAATCGAATTGTACTTTTTCTATCTCTACCAGATGGTCAAATAATAAGACAAAAAGAGGAAAACAGTCAAGAAGGAGAAAAAGAACAAACACAAGAGATTTATCATCACATTTATTTTATAATCGCATATAAGCTTTTCTTCTTTTTTTTATATCATAAGGTGGCAAACGATCGAGCGCCCACCTGAAATCGCTGAAATAGCGAAGTGACCGCTGCCCATAGACATACGCAATTGCATATGCGTTGCCTACCTTAAATCGACGGAGGAGAGGATGCACAGAAAGAAAATATCTTCCCTTTCCATGCATCATCTCATCCGGAAAGTCCACTTCCACTTTCCATCCTTTCCTTATGAGAAAAAGGGTGGGAAGGGAAAGAGGACTAAATTAGGCCTCCGGGACGCACACTCATCAGACTGTACGCAGAATTGCTTCCACTTGACGCCTGTCTTCTGTGTGGTCGTGGTATTTCACCGGGCGAGCCGGGCCGATTCGTGCGAAGATGTTAAAGCGGGCTCTACCACTGTTAAATATTACTTGTAATATATTCCACGCAAATGTATTGGATTTTTATTTTAGGTAGATTATGTTCCTCTAAGTGATGAGTAAATAAATGAACAACGCGTGCGTCCACCTCACTTAGTGATTAAACCATTAGACTAATGAATACATTGTGTTAGTCCAACTGCACATCTATTTCAATGTACGAGTATTAAGCATACCTACACATTTGTATGTAAAATACGTACAGTGTTCGATATATTTTCCGTTCTATTACTTCTTTTGTTTTCTATATCCATATTTTTAGAAATTCTCGTCTCAAATGTTACTGACAAAGCATACGTTACGTATAGCTTTTAACTTTTAACAATGGTTGAGCCCATAATAAAATATTGCACGAATAAGCCAGCTCGTCTGGTGCAGTACCATACACAGAAGACAGGCGACAACTGGATGTCATTCTGCGTTTCGTCTGATAAGTTTGGGTGTGTGAGGGCTAATTTTTGTCGACTTTCTCTTTCCGCCCTTTTTTAAAAGGAAGGAAGGAGAAATATTCTCTTTCTGAGCGTTTGCACCTTTGTCGATTAAAGGCAGGCAACGCATCTGCCAATTCGAATATCTAGGAGCAGCGGTTTCTTCGTTGATTCGGTGAATTTAGGTGCCTTCTGTTACGTTTGCTACCTTATACTGAGTCGACTTTACTAGTTTAAATTCAGAAGTAAAAATTATGACTATATTCACACATTTTTATAATGAAAAGAGTCACTTATAAAAGACTTTCATTTTGACACACATATAATTTTTCATTCCACCGTAAGCGCTTTTCATTTATTCCACTTTTTACGAGTTGCCTAAAACGTCACGTTCCAAACAGAACAGGCTAAAATAAAAAGCACGTACTTTTTAATTTTGTACATTACGTTGTTTGTATTCGACGTGGAAACGTGTCGAGTGACTGTTTAATTATTCCTAAAAATATACATGAAATGTTAGAATGACTACAACTTTTTATATCTAAAGCTTTAAAACATACTGCAATAAACTTTAAACGTGTATAAACTATTGTGGTCCTACTCATTCTCCATTAGAAAGAGTGAGAAAACAATATGTACTTTTGTGGATACCTCAGTGGAAATTTACGTTTAACACTCTCAATGCCTCTAGGCTTTTAACATACTAAAGTGAACTAGCAATGCGAGACGTTGGCACTGAAAGTGTTAGTGAAGTCAATGTTGTATAAAACATGTAAAAATTATGAAGATACTCGTTACTTAAATTAGCCTTAATAGTAAACTTCGCCTTAGGGCCTGTTCCAAAATATCCAAGTAAAGTGGATAACTAACTATGAAATAAAATTACTGACACATGTATTCCTAAATTGTGTGCAGAAAATATGGATGAAAAGTTAAGGAGAGTTACCAGTGTATCTCTCTGCCTACCCCTTAAGTTGACTTGTGAGTAATTAAGTTGTAATAAACTAGCCAATTACGTGAGCGTCGGTGGCTAAGGGGTCAAGCATATGACTTGCAATCTGAAGGTTCTGGGTTCGAATCCCATAATGTACCAACGTGTTTTTCGATTTCCGATTTACATTTATCCGACGTTCTTAAGGCGAAGGAAAACATAGAGATGCAACCTGCACATATCTGAGAAAAAATTCAAAGATATGTGTGAAGTCAACCAACCCGCACTTGGCCAGCGTGGTTGACTATGGACTAGTTACCTCTAACTTAGGGTAGGCTCCGAGCTCCTCGATGGGGACATATAGTGAGCTGATGATGAGCCAATTATGAAATAGGCGTCTTAATTTTTGACGAGACATAATATAAGCACTTGTACTAAAGTATGGTGATAAAATTTCGCAAGGAATATCAAAGTTATTTTCGTTATTGTGAACGAAGATTCATAGAACGGTGGCAGGTGCACTCTTTGATAGAAAAAGCATTGCTCTATTAAATATAACTCAACACTAAGTTGTAAAAAAGCTTCAGTATGAAAAGCGCCGTCGACGTAAACGGACTTTCTGTCTGGTTCGTGCAGTCATCAATCGACGTATTTGAACTCTGTGTTATTGTTAAGTGAATTTCGATAAAAAGCTTTGCAATATCGTAAGTTTTAGATCGTTTTTTTCTACATTTTGTAGATTTTTTTGGATTATTCAGGGACTGCATTTCAGTTTACAAAATACAAGAAAAGTATTGCATATTAAATTTTATCCTCCACTTCATATTAAATGAATTTACGATACCTTAATTAAACTTTAATTACGGATTTAATTAAGTTGCTTATTTCGACAGTATTTAGTGAAAATGACAAATTTTTTAGAATATAAAAAAAGTAAAAAAATGGTTAAATAACTACGTAAATAGGTCAGGTAGAGTGAAACTGTACCAGGCTCTCAGAGAACGGTAACGGTATTTTCTAGCAAAAGGTCGGCATTCGGTCGAGTCGACACAGTTTTATACTGCGAGCTTAATTACAGGTGACTCTATAGTTTTACATTCGACTCGGTTCATTTTAAATACCTACATTTATTTCAGGTATGAAATGCTCTCATGCAATTTCTAGTTACTTGTCACGATATAAATATAATACTGATGACGTTTTTTATAAATTAAATAATATCTCTTTTTAGGGTTCCGTAATTTGAAAGGAAAAAAACGGGAACCCTTACAGGATCACTTCCGTCCGTCTGTCAAGACACTCTTTCTCAAAACCAAGTTAAGGTATGAAGCTGGAATATATTTTGTATCTCTCTTAATCTTCATTTTATATAAGAGTATAAAAAAATTAAATTTGTCGTCTATATGTAATCTTATCAAATATCTTGGAGCCCAAATAAATATGCATCTCTATGTAAATATATAATGCTATTAGAAAAGAGACTAGCTATGCGTGATTGCGATTTCCATGATCATTTCCACTGGCGCGGACACGACTGCAATAGAAATGGCAATCACGCTGCTAACTCCTTAGTCGAAAAAGGGTCTTAAATACAGAAGACTGGACTCGGTTCAATACTGGTGTAATATATTTCGATTATCTTAGTTATTTAGCGGAGTAGGATCGTTCGATTATTTTGCATAATTGTTTCCGTGCTCGGTCTTCGGACCCGCGGTTTATCTCTGCAGAAAGATGGGGGTAATAAGATAATGTTCCTCTTATTTCTCTCATAAACAACGCCAAAGAATCTAAAAAGTTGAGGTGTTTTGATTACGAATAAATATATTTTAAAACAAAAAAATCTTTGTTTTAAAACTCAGACAATAGATGGCGCTATTTCATTATATTTGGTACATGGCATATTTGTTTTTTTCTACAATTAAGAATATTTATGTAAAACTAGCTGTCGCCCGCGACTCCGTCCGCGTGGGATTAAAAATGTATGTTGGCAGATTCTCAGACCTACTCAATATGCTCACAAAATTTCATGAGAATCGATCAAGCCGTATCGGAGGAGTATGGAAACGAAAATTGTTACACGAGAATTTTATATTATGTAAAATGTAACACAATACACCAAACTGATTATATATTCTATAACCATCCACGAACTTATGACATAAATGTCCACGAAAATGTTAGTCACCATTTTTGCACCACAATTTTTGATTATGGTTTGACTTCGAAGGATTACTAGAAATGAGTCTCCAATTAATATCACGTAGTATCCAGTTTATATGTATGAAAATTTATCACTTATTTTTTTGTATAAAAGTAATTAAAATTCATGTTCAGTAACTGCCCATGAATTATACCGCCGTTATTAAACATCCTGCTCCCTCCGCTCATTTGCATACTGATAAGGGATCGAAGTGTCGACCTTTTAATATTGTACGGTTATTTCTTGTAATAACAGTTTGGATACACATAATAACATTTTGTTTATGTTTCTCATATTTATTACCCAATTAGCTATCTTTCGCGACTCTTTCTACAGAATTAATAAGTAGCCTAGTCTTTCAGACTGTTCTATGCCAAATTTCAGCAAGATCCATGCAGCCGTTCCAGAGATATCTTCAAACAAACATTTATCCATCAATCTATCAATCTAAACATTCGCATTTATAATATTAGTAAGATTATTCTCGATTCTTAATAATTGCCTTTTATAGATCAATTCTAAATTTAATGCAATTTTATTTAACCAAATGTAAGCGCGATCTAATCTGCAACTAACGCCATCTAGTTCAATTTAAAAACACTATGAAAAAAACAACTTCAAAATGTTATTTTATACTCATTAAATTTATTGTTGGCTTCTATATTACATAAATACAAGTTAAATGACTAATTTGAACAACACTGCAGTACTGCAACGACTCAACTTATTTAATTAGCGAGACAAAGACGCATCGTGAGCCGGCTTACGGAACGCTTTTTTGTACTCTCTATTAAGTTAAGAATACCCTTATGTAGTATTGTGATAAATTAATAAGCTAATCTTACCTACTGTTGGATTCCTTGACATAATAATAATCTTAAATATCTTACTTTCCACGTGGTAAAGATGATTTTTAGACACGAGCTTTTATTTTTCTATCAGTAGTAACGACCTTCTAAAATGGTATTTTTTATATTGCAAACGAAACCACGAAAGCACGTAGACCACCACAGAGGAGATGTAAAGTGGAAGTAATTCCGTGTTTGTGATGATGTGGATGTGATGGAGGTTTAATTTTAATCCTATTTCACTTCCTATCCTTTTTTATAAGGAAAAGATGGGAAGTGGATTTTCCGGATGAGGTTATTCTTGGGAAGGGAAAATATTTTCTTTCTGTGTATCCTCTGTCGCTTATAGGTAGATAACGTATCTGCTATTTCGGATAACGGGCAACGGTCGCTTCACTCTTTTACCGAAATCAGGTGGCCGTTCGCTCGCCACTTTACAATATAAAAAATTGTATTTGACGGCAAAGGGACGTACTAAATAAAATAAAGTATCTAGGAAAGTCATAAATTGTTTGAAGTACTTATAAAAATGCAAATTGTCTCGTCACTCAACACTTCACTCTGAGAGCGGGGTAATGCGTGTTTCACGTATAAAATAACGTCGCTATTTTATAAACAAATTTGCATGTACTTTAAGAGAAATGGGGAAGAAATTGGCAAGAAATTTTTGATGCAAATTTCTTTTTCCCTAGGGTATTTATATTATATCGATATAATGTTTTGTGTTTAGATCATGAGAGAGAATTGGCAAAGATTTTGCGGTATCTTTTGTTAAGAAGAAAATACGGAATTGAGCCAGTGTATTGACTTAACACTAGCCTTACTAAAATGGCGACGTTTATGTCCCCGCACTATGCATTCTTACACTGGACTTTGTAACGTAAGCACGTCATTCGCGCCAAAGGATTGTACTTAATAATGTCTAAAACTATGTTTAATGTTAACTAAACACTCAAACAATCTTAATATTGCAAAGCAGTAGAAAATTTCTTTCGATTTTGCGTCACGAATTTTTACGACCTTACAATATTGAATTTCTTTTCAACTTAAAAGCAATATTATAAAAGTAAATGTACAAAAACCAAAATGAAATAAAATCAACGGTGAAAATCTTTTTATTTCATTTAAGTTTGAAAGCTTGGAAATATTCTACGAACGGTACATTTCTTATTAAAATTCCGCCCCGCACTCCAAGTCTCTTAATCACAGTTTGGCTTTCGCAAAAATAAAAGTACAGTACCTTTTTAAGTTCACTTTTGAATATAATTGAATTTTATTGTTATTTAAGAGATATCCGCCTTGAATTATAAATAGCAAGAGTTTCTGACACCAAAATTTCTGTATAAAATATGTCACCCCTGACTTTTATCGTTGACAAAACAGAGATAATGTGTTTTAAATGGGAATTTTCGTTGTTGAGAAATGAATGGTCGAGGAATAATCGGTAGTTAAATAACTCGTATCGTCCATGGTATCCAATTACACTACAATTTTATTTACATTCTCTCTAAGGAAAAACATTTTGACATAAGATTCAAACTTAAAAATATAAAAGTTTCGAATATTTGAATACAAGAAGTTCATATAGTTTTCTAGTTAACCTCATTTCTTAACATCGGTCTCAGAAACCCGCAGTACGAGTACAAATTAAAATAAATAACACATTTAACACTTTAAAACATATATACGACATACATACGAGTATACATAATACAAATTTTAACAAGTGTTAATCCTTAATCGGTGAAGGAAAACATCATGATGCAACCTGCACATATCTGAGAAGTAATTTAAAGATATGTGTGAAGTCAACCAACCCGCACTTGGCCAGCGTGGCTGACTATGGCCTAATCACTCTTAACTTAGGTAGGTTCCGAGCCCCTCGGTGGGGACGTATAGTGAGCTGATGATGATTCCTTAATCATTTTATTTTACCGTGAAATTCCACTACCAAAGCGCTATAAAACGAACGATAAAAATGACTATGATTTAATACTAGTGTTTCTATAGGAACGTTTGATTCAAAACTGTTTAGTCAAAAAAAGTCGAACACACGACGGTTAGTCTGGAGATTTTAATACTAACTTTCCAACATGCCGGTCGTTGACGTGTGAAGTTAATGTAATAAGCAATTATAAGATGATCGGCGTTAAAGCAGGCAGGTAACGAGAAGTTTTCACAGGCGAGTGCGGTTTCCCCTTCAATTAGTGCAGCAGACGGAAAATAAGCTGATGCTCTAACGCACCGTCGACACGCTCCGTCCCAACCTTTGAAGTTTGCTCAAGTTAACGCGCTATTACCAGCTTGTTGGTCATAGTTTTTGATGGAATTTACATATTTTTAATACCTAATATATTAAATTGTGAATAGCTATATAGTTTTACTTAACTATGTGGAACTTTTTAGTACATTCTTTTCATATTTTTTTTTTACATGAAGCGACTGTTGTTATCGTATTTAACGTAGGATTTATAAGGTCGTTCAACTTCGTATTTCTATCAAAAGAATTATATCAAAAATATAATCTTAAAGAAGCTTTTTTAATTAAATGCATGGTTTTTACTTAACGATGTATGCGTAAATGATATGTGTCAGGACTGCGCCAAATTATCCATGGACTCTGCCTATCCTTTTGGGTTACGGGCGTGATTATTAACCGAAATAATTTCCAATGTTATTTCTCATTTGTACGTAATTTCCATTTGTTAATTGTTTACTTTTAAATTATATAACGTATATAATAGGTTGACTTACCAGGGTAACATAACGTTGGCGGAGTTTAATCCATCAAGCGTCATATCAAACGGGTATTGTTGAGCGCGCCAGAATAGATTCCCTTTGTAGTTCACTCAGACTTGTCGACAACGAGGCCTTACTAAAAGCGAAATATATGTACCTTTGATATATTACAAAGTATTATATACAATTTTCGTTTTATATTTTTTTAATATTTACCGAAATTAAAACATTATTAACGTGTTGACCCATAGAATATTTTTGATCCAAAAATCGTTAAACATATGTTTGTTACAGATTAACAATGTACGGGCGGGTCGCATTGTTTTTGATTCAGCTCGTGTTGCTGACGCATGCCTATGCTCAGACAGGTGAGTTTAACTTTTTAATTTGGACATAAAGTGTACACGGCCATAAGCTGACTGCCAGATTGCGGCCAGATCCCATTATCAGATATACGATTGAACGATTCGTAAAGGTCAAATTCGATCGATGATTAAAAAAAAAGGTCGTTCAGATATTTTCTTAAGAACACTCTGCGTGTGATCTATTTTTAATTTGTTTGCTTACAAAGGAGCCGTACGTACGTACCATTTGGTGACAGCACTTATCGTCTGGTGCTAAAGATGATAAGTATGATATGTTTCTAAAGAAAATAAAATTTAAATTTCAGAAACCGAGCCGCCGAATACTTTAACAACCAAGGCTCCAACCACGACTACCAGTACGACGCCAGCACCAACAACGGTGGTATGGGAAACGGAGACACTGAACGAGGGCCAGGCGATACAGAAGGCACTGCAGTACTTACTGCAGCATCGTCAGCCCGATTGGGGATGGGGGAATGATACTCACCATGTCATGCTGACGTTACAGGTATCTTGACACGGTTACTAAATATCCTCCTTCAAAATAAGAAGGAATTAGATGAACTAATTTTAGTCCTCTTTCACTTCCCACCCTTTTTGTTATAAAGAGACGATGGCAGTGGATTTTCTGGGTAAGGGGAAGCATGGAAACATGGAACACATCTGCAATTGTTTGTCTATGGGCAACCTATAATTTAAAAAAGAAAAGAACTAGGGTTAAAAAGTTAAATGGATTCAATTAATCAGACACTAGAATCAAATAAAATGATATTGTTATACCCATTAACTATAGAAAGGATTTAGTAAGGTTTTCAAGCTACACAGGTGTCTTTGTCCGTGTACCATTAATGCTAATAATCAGAGAGTATTTGAGATATTCCTGTTGCAATGATTAAATTGCAAAATAGTCTAAAAATTATTTCTAATTTATTTCAGCTTGCAAACAACACAGGCAAAGAGATAGAACAGCAAGGTCTGGAAATGCAGCTGTCGGCTAAACAAATGGAGATAGAGATATTGTTGATGATGTCCAAGTAAGTAGAAAATTCAGTACTTCAGTACCACATTTGAGAATGATTTCTTCTAATCTTTTGACAGAATTTTTCGCAGTATCAGATATTTCATAGCGGAAACAAAGGCTAATAACTTATTATAATCATTTGCTTGTGTACAATTTAATGAAGGATAAAGACAACAGTTTGAATGATTAGTGCTTAATGTTAAAATTTACCAAGCATAAAATTTCCTTTCCACAGACATCACGAGTCGCCTCCTCCTCTGGGTCGTTTAGCCGCCTATACCCTGGCTCTAGGCGCGCTCTGCAAAGACCCGCGTTCTTTCCACGGCCGCGACCTGGTAGCTGCGCTGCTCCATAGAGAACCACCACATGATTTGGAGTTCGCGTACGCTACGCTCGCTGCGTGCTCCTCCGCTGCGCATGTTCGTCGACGTCATATCCGACGACTGTTGGACATTGCTAATGCTGCTGCTGACCATAGTCTTGGTGAGAATTTAAAATCTTAACGACAAGAGTTTGGTTGGTGTTTAGATAGGAGAGTGCAATTTCATTATTTAGAATTCTCTTAACATAAATAAAATAGTTTGTTTTTAAGATGTTTGTTTTGAATTGCTTAAAGTCTTATTTAACACCGTTTTAAACATGTCATAATTTAATATTTTCATAAGACACAATATCGATGGTGATCCTGGCTCTGCGCTGCGTGGTGCAAGACCACCGTCACCGCAGCCTGATTCACTTCGTGCGACGTCCTATGGCCGGTCTGGCGCGGCAGCAGCACCCTGACGGCAGCTTCGGCTCACTCACCACTACTGCTCTTGCTATACAGGTGAATGATGTCAACAGACTGTGTGTTGTCTGTGTTTTAAGATTTACCTTAGACCATCTTTCAATGTATTATAGCTTAAAAGAGCCAAGAAATGTTGAGTATATTCAATGATATTTCTTTTTAGTTTTCTATGTCTTTACTACTATTATATGGGTAAAAATCATTTCTCTTCCAGGCACTAGAAGATTCAGATAGTGGTCCCGGCGCGCACCAGCACTGGAGTCTTCCAGCGGCGAGGAAGTGGCTGCTGGAGCGGCAGGGGCCTGACGGCGGCTGGGGAGACGTCGCTAAGACTGCTGCCGCTGTGGCAGCGCTCACGCCCGCCTCTCTCGCTGCGGTCCGACCGCCGCATTGCAGTGATAAACTGCTGGATAGCCGGCATGAACCCCTCGGTAACTGAGCATTGCTTTGTTTAGTACTAATTTTCTTCCTATTGACTATTGTCTCAATTTGCGCATAAAACAAAAGTCCAATCTAGAATGCAGTCTTGTAGCTTAGCAAATAGGTGTTTTTGACTAATAACTTTAGAGACTAAAAAATGATAGGTTCTCAAGGAATCTATTGCTGGTTGCTTTTTTACAAACTTCAATGTCTTTTAAACTCCTTTAAAGTGTTTTACAAAATCTACCAAAAAGTTAGTTTAGTTTTTATTTTGTTTTATTTTAAATTACAGATAACAACGGCGGAGATGGCAGTTTGAAACTGGCATATCAATCTGGACACAACCATAATGATTCGGACGCGCGCAACGTTTCCTTTACCTACACACTGTGGCTCGGCACCAACGTTACTGAGAATTACACTCTTTATATGGTAGCACCAAGGTAAGGTATCTAATAAGATTATTTAGAACTTAATATTGTGTTTAGAGTTTGAGTAAAGAACTTGATATAATGATCACATCACCATCATGAACAGCTCACTAAACGGCCTCATTGAAGGGCTCGGAGCCTACTCTATGTTAGAGGTGACTAGGCCCTAGTCAACCACGCTGGCCCAGTGCGGGTTGGTTGACTACACACAAATTTTTCAATCTTTTCGCAGATATGTGGAGGTTGCACCACGATGTTTTCTTAGTCGTATGAACGTCGGATAAATGGACATATGTAAATCGAAAAACACATTGGGTAGATGGCGGGATTCGAACCCAGGACCTGCAATTTGCTAGGCTAATGCTGGACCCCTGAGCCACCGACTGTCTACTTACTTATCAGTACTTACCATTGTCGAAGTGCGACATATTGGTCTTTAACAAAAGATTTCATTGCCAAAGGGCATAAACAGAATCAAAAATTATCAAGATTCACTTTTAATGTAACGACACTAAAGATGTATGTACTAACTTTTTCAGGAACATATCGTTCTATCATGTGATGCAAATGGCTGCTGAACAGGACCCAAAGTTCAAATTCGAGGCGAGCGAGTGGCCTAACGGTCATTACGTGCACACCCTAGCCGGACATAAGGAGGAGCCGATGGGTTACCATTACTGGCTTCTGTACCGCCTGCCGGAGGTGCCCGACCCTGCTAGTCCCCCTGGCAACCAGCTTGTAGCACCAGTGGGTCAGTATTTTTTGTTATAGCTTCCCTTATCTGTTTGTCTTGCTAACTTTGGGTTAATGTGGTGCTGCTTACAATGATTTCAGTATAATAAGTGGACACTATAGAAACGGTTTGCTTAATATTAAATCCAAATATTACATTGTTAGGTTAGGTTAGGGAAATTATTATCTTTAAAATCAGCCAAGGTTTAATTGTAACTTTGTCATATTGTGTATTTATTCATTTTAAACGGCTGAATAGGACTCTGTAAAATTTGGTATAGAGAATAGAAGAACATTTTTAGAACGTAGCTTGGAAGAACACATAGGCTACTAATTTTTGTTTTATTTCGTGCGGATTGAGGCACATATGCAATGAGGAAAGGAAATTTTGATGTTTTTTTTATATTTCCAGGTGTCGACGATCTTCTGGTAGAAGACGGCGAACATTACCTCTTCTGGTACAAGAAGTTGTAATTTGTAATGATAAATATAATAAGCATTTTAAATCAAAATGCTTCTTTTCCACGTATCTCAAGTAAAGTAAATAGTTATTTATTTAATGTTTTGTTAGATTTAGAATTATAGCAATTAAGAAACTTGTCGTAATATTTCATAGTTTTTATCAAATCACAAAATCAAGATTTTTTTAAAGGTATTTCACCTTTTTTATAGAATAATTTATATTTTAGTTTTCTCGCGATATCATCTTTGTTTTTCACTTTCATTATCATCATCATCATCATCATCAACCTGCCCTTGTTTCTACAGGATGTCGCTAGATTATATAACATTCTTTCATACATCACTATCAGCTGTCATATCTGACTTGCTTTCGGAGATCCTCTTTCACACAATCCACCCATACTTTCTTCGATCATCATGTACCATTGTAGCCACATTCAATCGCATTAGTTTATTATTTATGTAATCATCATCACTCTACGTATATACCACGTTGATCTTCTGCTCTTCAATTTCTCTATCACTGACGCTTTTTACAGACTTCCACTAATATATACGTCTCCACTGAGGGTCTCGGAGCCTAAGCTAAGTTAGCGTCAACCACGTTTGCTCTTGGTTGGTTGACTTCATGCATATCCCTAATATCCATTTTTAGCTTTTTCCATCTATTATACGGTATTTAATTCTAACTTATAGTTATAGTAAATTTACATATAAATCTCCGTTTCTCTACATTTAGATGATAATAGTGTGAATTGAGTCTAAAGAATGAATAGAAGTTACTAGCGCCTTTAACTTTTATATAGCAAGAAGTTTTGTTACTGTTTGTTAAATTTTAATTCAGGATTATTAGAAAAAAGAAAATGTACAAACGCACAGCTCTCCTTCTTTTTATGTCGTCAGTTTTATCATTTTGAACTTAACTTCAGTAAACTTTTTAAACAAAAAATTAATGCATTTAAATGCTAAAAATTGTGTTTGAAATTTCAGTATTTTATACTTATTCCATAATTTTAATATTCTTTATCGTTAATTTATTGGTATCATTTTAATATAATTTATTTCAAATAATTTTAATTTGAGCTTAAAGTAAGTTTAACTATTAATTTTTTTTAACTTAGTAATTACGATTTATGTAAAATTTTAGTATGTTTCAAAATTACATAGGAAACACTCAATTAATTTTATTTTACATGATTTTAAAATATAATGTTTCTTAAATTAGCAACTGGCCATATGGATTGAAATCACTGACCTCTAAATGGACAGGCTATAAGCCAGGTATTTTGTGCCTGCTTGATTTTGACAATTTTGGCACTGCCGGTTACAGTTAGTAGCGATAATAAGAATTCGAATTAATAATAGAGATCTAATTAACTGCTAGTAACATCAACAGACGCCTTTAAGTCTGAACGAAAAAAAAAGCTGGCATTTCTAAGCAATAACCTATCCATTTATAGATATTAGTGATTGTAATGAATTGGTATTTTGCTTATCTGTAAGCAATTTATTAGCGGATAACTTTTTTAATACATTAAAATAATCTTCGTAATTTCCTTCTTATTAGGTTTCCTTTCCATACTTTTAAACTTAGTAACGATTTTCGTAGTAATTAATGTTAAATAGGTTTTTCTATTTATTCTTATCTAATGATTAGTAATTAATTATTATATTAGGAGACTGAATGATTCAATATAACAAGTACTCGTACTTTAAGATAAGTTATATTTACTGTAACAATTGAATGGATCTTAATAAAAAGTAAAAATCTTTGGGATAGTCTTTTATTTAAATCACAAGAAGATAAAGTAAATGACATTAATATAGATGTAGCTGACAAATCTAAACACATATTTTAAGTAATGACAATATCAAACTGGTGCAAGTGTCGCGTGTGCGTACACATCATAAGTATATGCTGGAGAGAGGGGACGTCAGTCGATGTCAGACCTTTGGACCGGTAACACGTGTCGGTACGTGAACGAGACAAATATAACGCAACGAATGCCACACATACGAAACTGGGGGGCTTAACAAAATGCATTAGCTCCGAAGTGATTCCATTACGAACTTTAAAAATGTATAGAACTGACAATAACTTTCGATAAGTCACGTGATTCCTTTAGATATTACGAGTGTTAGAATCCTCTGGCGCGCTTTCATTACAAAGTCAAGTGTCAGAATGATGAGTGAGTGGACATAAATGTCGATATTTTAGCAAGGTTAGTGTTGTGCTCGTACACCGGCACAGTGTCTTGATTTTCTTCCTAACAATACATTTTCAAAGTTCGTTATGGAATCGCTTCGAAGCGAATGCACTTTGTCTAACCTCTGGACAAGCGAGAGTCTAATTATCGAGATTTCTCTCTAACATAAGTTTCTCACTCGTTGGTGTCGACTGAGACTGAACGATGACTCTTATGGATGTTTCTCGCTTCTACAAATTCAGCTGTAATTATTTATTTAGCATTCATTAATTTAGAATCAAAGTTCATCAAGAATCATCACCACATTTTGTACCAACATTCATAGACCACACAAAAACTAGCAACACGAAAACTGATTTGTAAACTTCATTGATTAAATAGAAAAGGACTCGGTAACAGAGTTCAGTAATTATAGATTACACATATTATAATATCAGTGCAGTAAAAATTTTAACATCAAAACATTAAAATGATAAAAGTATTGAATTACAATATTATTAAATTCTGTTCCAATAATTTGATTTCTTCTTATGGGCTTTTATCACGTAAAACGACAAGCAACCATGTAGTAAGTGCTCCCGACAACTGTAAGGAAACGTTTGATTGAAAAAAAATGTACATCAAAGAAACAAGAGCCTACTGCATTAGTTAAGAAACAGATGAGAAGGGAAGATGGGTATGACGGTGAGGGAATTTGTAACGTTACGGTGATGATTTTTCTGTAAAACTGTTTCCCATTCAAGATCGATAACTCATCTGTAATCTAACTTATTGAGTTCTATTTGGGCAGAGGACTCTCCTTTTAAAGGTCCCTTGCTTATTCTCCTTTTAGTACATAAAGAATAAAAAGAGAGCTAAGATAAGGTCTAAAGCCAGTAGTAGACACACAAAGTTTACTAAGGATGATAAGTGTGTGGTGCCTGTGCACTAAATTTAGTACCCTTTCCCTTCCCACCCTTTCCTTGCAGGGAAAAGATGGAAAGGGGATGGGATTTGACGGCTGAGGTGGACCATAAGAAGGGAAAATAATCTATTTCTCTGCGTCTTCTCCTGTCGATAAAAGTAGACAACGCATCAGCGATTGCGAATGTCTATGGGCAGCGGTTGCTTCGCCACTTTGGCGTATTCAGTCCGTCACTTGCAAGTTTGCCACCTTATAATATAAAAAAATGATATATAATACCTCCAGTATAATTGATCGCCTTAGAGTAAACAATTGAAATGGCGAGTACGAGGGAATGTTTGTGAAGACAAGACGATAGAACATCTCCAGCTCATTGACTATTGGCCCGCTAGTAGTTGGCGTGTAGTGCGTCAATCTGGTCACAAACAGCCTTGTCACCTCCATCTGTCATAAAAAAGTCGTGAGAGACATTTTGTTTACATTTCAGACATTTGTTTTGATAAATATTGTTATCCCTTTTATTAGTTTTGGCAAAATAGAGACTGCAACATTATGTAGTGAAAGGTGGGAGATTTAGTGTAGGAAGCGATCTTCTATTTCTCGTCTTTCTCATTCCCGTTGAAAAGATCAGAGATAAGAAAGAGATAACAATACTTGTGTGCAGATATTAAGGCAGTGGAAAATGTAAAGTTACCTCATTATATGTCCATTGACAGGGCTCAAGTAAAAACATTATTTTTATGAATATATGTAAACAATGACAACATTGCATTATTCTATTTAAGTTTAATTTTTCCAACTCGATTCCTGTTAAGAAGCAATAGAAAAATTAATCACTGTTTATAACTAAAAGGGTAAAGAACAGTCAAAAATTTTAGGATACTTAAACGAAGCGGCCGTTTTATAAAAGGGACCTTAAAACTTGTGAATTGATTGTGTATTTCGATATCCATATTAGATATCAGTTCCCCCATTCCTTCTAATTCTTCCCTTTGTTTTCTTTTGAGGTGCGGATTTTTTTAAAGTGTCTGTGGCATTTCGCAGTCGCAAAAATACATAAAAATATTTAAGCAAACCTGTATAAGGCAAGTTCGTGAAAGGATTTACACTCCAAAAGACGACTAGGAAGAATATACATTGTACAGCGTACACCAACATTGAGATAAATGACAGTAAAATAATCAATCCATTCTCCTTATCCAAAGTCCTCATAACATCACAGAGAGTGCTATACGATGTTGCCAATTGTCTGAGAGTCTTATGCGCTCTTTCATTGCTTCTTTCCTGGTCTAAACAACAATAAAATGTCTTCTATAAAATACACTAGTCAAAGACTTTAAGATATTCAAAGATTGTAATCAACTAATCTGAACTTTGCCATTTTGGTTTACTAAAGCTAAATCACCTCTAACATAGGGTCGGTTTTGAGTCCCTCTGAGGCTAGATATATAATATATGAGAAGCTAAAAGTCTATAAGATCTTCGAATTAAAACGCCATCCTATTCAATTCTAAGTATGTTAATACAAAAAGCAAAGAAAATATTTAATCCTTAATAATTTTAACTTTAAAATATAAGACTAAAAAGGCTTAAATCCAATTTGCGTCGTTCTTCGTCAATACGATCTAAACATTAGCAGACTTTTTGTTAATTTACTAATAGTTTTGTACCATTCCAACTAAGCTATATGCTTGGTTGTTGTTAGGAATTTGAACGTGATCGAAAAACCGTATCCTTAATCATTATGTTATTGACGCTTCAATTTTTATATGTATATTTATTTTATTTTATGATTTGTATATTTAAACAGTAAATAAGTTAAAATAGGCGAATATATGTTATAATTCGATTTACTTTTTTTGAAATCTGTTAACAACTTCCCAAGACGACGGTTGACTGCCTGAAGCGCGGTGTGCACGCTGAGTATTGTGAACGAGAATTGCGCTTGCAATGTTAATATTACAAAATATGCAAACTGATACATGTTTTTCCTGATGATTAAAAAGTCTGTAAAATACACAAAACAAAAGTCTTTAAAAGTATAGTGAATCTTACTAATTATTATAAATGCGAATGTGTACTTGGATATTTGTTTGAAGGTATCTCCGGAACGGTTGCATGGATCTCGCTGAAATTTGGCATAGAATTTTTCAAGGAAGGAGGGTAAGAAATTTTTCTCACCTTTCAAGCCTTCCCTAGACCTCCACGAACACTTCAAGACCAAGATAAGATGAATCCGTTCAGCCGTTCACGAGTTTTAGCGAGACTAACGAACAGCATTTGATTTTAAATATATAGACATATTATAATTCTGGATACTCACGGAAATTTTTAACATGCGTAATGCGTTCCCCACCTATTATAAATTCAGCAATAACAATTACCGGTGACATTACTAAAAGAATAATAAATAATTTAAATCTTCTTTTTTCTATGTTAGCAACTGCGGCATCATTAACGCCTTCGATGTTAAGCTGAAAAATTAGAATTAACAGCATGAGGTAACGTAATTAAAATCTAATGTAATAAAGACGAACTGAAACTAAAGATCATGTAGAAATCTGAAACGAACGTTTAATCTGCGCCTAGAAATACCATTGGGCTAGTCTTTTTTATGTTATTAGAAGGTAATCAAGCAAGCGGCCACCTGGATTCGCAGAAATAGCGAAGAGACCACTGCCCATAGATATCCGCAAGTGCAGTTTATCTATCTTTATCGACGGTATCCACTTCCTACTATCATGCTTTCCTTATAAGAAAAGGGTGGAAAGGACTAAAATTAGGCGTCCCGCACATCTTATTAATATTATAAATGCGAATGACTCGATGGATGGATGGATGTTTGAAGTTATCTCTAGAACAGCTGCATGGATCTCGCTGAAATTCGGCATGGATGAATAAAATAGCCTGGAAGAACACATAGGCTACTAATTAAATTTTTTTTTTAAATCATGCGGACGGAATCCCGTGCGACATCTATTTCACGAGATAATATGTCTAATTTCTTCCACTTGACTCGTGTCTTTTGTGGTTGAGATATTCTACCGGGCGAACCGACCACGTCGTACAACGGATTTTGTTGTGCTGGTTTCTACCACTATCGTGGTTATCACAAGGTGCCTTGTGGCAGCCGCAGGTTTTTTATCGAATTAGGTAATGAGCGGCGTAGGGTATGCATAAACGTAGTGTTGTTTGTCTCGAGCGTACACGCCATAAGTACATGCCGGAGAGAGAGGGCGTCACGACACTCCGCTACAGACCGCTGAGGCGAACGGACGTGTCCGCTCGCCGCACATCTGTCGCTCCGCCCGACACTACGTTGAGCAATCCGCACCTGCGCGCGCCATAAAAGGTGCCGCCATCCTTTGTTCGCGAGCCGACTGTGTTGGTGCAATTTTTATTGCGCCCGCCATCTGGCAAGCGATAATCCTAGTTTCGAGGTAGAACGTCGTCATTTAATTGTTCCTTAGGGAACTATTTATTGCACCGCCACCTGGCAAGCAATTATCTAGTTTCTTATTAATAACATAGCAACGTCTATTGTTTCCGACTTCGGGAACTGCGTGAAAGGAATTGTGAAGTGCAGTTTTCACTGCGCGGAGCTACTTCTTAACAGCGCAATTTTAAAAGGCTAGCGGATACCTAACGGTGATAACAAAGCTAGTCAGGCAGCCCCGTTCGCCTGCGGTTCCCCTTCAGGGAACCGCGTAATTCGGAAGGGACCTCCACCACTGGCCTTGGGTAGTGCCCTAGTCAACGTTGGTCCACGTTTGGCCTTTTAGAGCCCACGGGTAGCTTTAGTTAGACTTAAGTACACACCCGAGTGCACAATAAGATCGGCACTCGGACGCACTAGGGCTACACGTAGTAGGCACACATCCTCCCTGCTTAACCCAGCAGGGAGGGAGCTAGGGATATACACCCCGGCATCCCACCGGGACACTACATAGTGACTAGGTACGGTCCACCATAAGTCCAAATGGCGGAGTCAAGCTTAAAAGCTGTCCTTGACTTTTTAAAATATAAATTCCCGGACGCTTTCAAGGCACTTAATGCCTCATTATTAGACGTGGAATCCGGAGCCCCCGCAGAGCATTCCAAACCCGGGTCAAGCACCGGCGATGCGTCACTGCCGTCTAGCGACGTGGAGGATATGAAGCTAGACTCCCCTATGTCCCCCGAAAATCCTGAAGATGCAGGCGGCTTATTTACGGAAGTCTGTAATAAGAAAAAGCGCAAGAAGCGCTCCTCCCCCGCTTCTTCGTCTCCGTCATCATCATCCTCATCCCCCGTGCCTCAGAAGGCGCCGCGCCCTCATTCCCCACTCGAATCTTCCCAGTCAGCTCCGATCCCAGCCCTTATGGCTACTCCCGTCGAGCCCAAAACCAAAACTGCTCCCTTCAACTCCTCACCCCAGTCTCCAATTGCTCGTCCTGCCCTCCCCGTAGTCCGTGCGCTACATAGCAAAAAACCTCCCCCAATCTACATTCAAGCCAAGGACAAGTGGCCGATGATCAAATCGGCACTTTCCAATAAAATAGAGTGCGTAGCAATGCCTACCCAACAGGGTATTAAACTCCAGCTAGATTCGACAGATGCTTTTCGCACTGTGACAAAGTTCCTTCGCGAAAGACGTATACTTCCACACTTATACGCTCGCAGACGAGCGCATCCTTCAGGCGATCGTCAAGAAGATCCCGAAGGAAATCCCCGTAGAAGAGGTGTTACAGTCCCTCAAAGAACAGAATATCCCCGTGCTTGCAGTCCATCGGTTAAAAAACAGGCGCACCAAGTCCCCCCTAGATATGGTCAAAGTTCAATTAGAACTCACCCCCGAGGGTAAATTGATCTTTGACATAAAGTCGATATGCGGCCTTAGTGGCCTAATCGTAGAGCCGCCCCGTAAGAGCGTCATTCCAGGCCAATGCCATAAGTGCCAATTGTATGGGCATTCAGCCCGCAATTGCTACGCCCGCCCTAGGTGCGTCAAGTGCCTAGGTGATCACGGAACCATCGACTGTCCAAGGCCAAAGGACAAAGCACTTCTGGCCGCCTACGGCAAACCCGCGTGCGTCCTCTGCCTCGGTGACCACACGGCCAACTTCCTAGGATGCCCTTAAGCACCTAAGTTTAGGGACGAGCATAGATCAAACGCATTTAGACAACCCACCCGAAAACCACAACCGGTGCCGGCATCGGATTCGTTCCCGCCGCTTCGCCCCGTGCGTCCTACAAAATCTATAGCAACCGTTGCGGGAACTACACCTACTTACGCCGCGACCGCGACAACCCAACACGCCACGCCCGTTAACAAACCCATACCTGTTAGGCCGGCACTTGTAAGCCAAACTCCGCGTACGACAGGAGCTGATCCTTTGGAGGCACTGAAACAACTTCGATCTCTGGACATGAGTGAAGTTTTAAACTTTGCTCATGCCTTCGCAAACTCCACCGGCGACATAGTCGCGCGTGTCCAGATTATCTTGAAATACGAGCACATTATCCGTGCTCTACAATAATAATTTAACAGTAGTATGGCGGTACAACCAAACGGGAATTACGGCAACCCCCCGTTACTCGCGCGTAACAACGGCAGAGTCAAACCGCGGTCTATTAGCATAGCTTTTTATAATGCAAACGGTTTAAAAAAACAACGCGACGAAATACATAACTTCCTTCGCGATCATCAAGTCGATATCCTACTAGTGCAGGAAACTTTTCTGAAACCATCTACAAGGGACCCGAACGTCTCTAATTACAACATCGTTAGAAACGATAGACCAGGCGCTCCAGGCGGCGGTACTATAGTTTACTATAAAAAGTCCCTGCACTGTGTACCGATTGACACGCCCTCGTTAACGCACCTCGAGGCCTCGATCTGTCAGTTAGCCATGACTGGCCACTCTCCCATAACGATAGCATCAGTTTACCTCCCTTGTAAAACAAGCGCAACTATTTTACGTTCAGACTTTGAAGCCCTCCTGTCTGTAGGAGGTGCTAAAATCCTTGCGGGCGATTTCAATAGCAAGCACACCCGATGGAACTCTACGAAAATTAGCAAACGAGGCCGCGCGCTGGACTCACTATCAGACACACTTGATTTTGAAATCCTAGCGCCCATAGAGCCCACCCACTATCCTCACGTAATAGAGCACACACCGGATGTGCTTGATATTGCAATCGTCAAAAATGTTAACCTAAATCTATGTGACATTAAAGTGATTCACGAGCTTCACTCGGATCACAGGCCAGTACTACTACGGCTAGGGCCATCCGCACCTACCGCTACCCAATGTAAAACAGTAATCGACTGGCATATGCTCAGCACTAAACTTAAAAATTTCAACTCGACCCACTTAGATGCCATACCCGACCAACTAAATACCGAGCAAGACATGGGTACCGCGATCGGCTCTCTAACGAGTCACGTCCAAAACGTCATAGACAACTGCTCAAGGCAGGTGCCAGAGACCAATAACCATCGTTGGGCTCTACCACCAGACATTAGGGACCTGTTGAGACGCAGGAACGCAGCTACCCGTGATCATGATATGTATCCTACTGAATTGAACCGAAAACAGCTACGTAAACTACAGCGTGACGTAAAAACACGCATAGCTGCATTCAGGAACGAAAGGTGGGATTCAGATCTCAGTAATTTAAAGCCATCCCACTTAGCCTTCTGGAGGCTCCCCAAATCATTAAAGGGCGACACGCACACCACGATGCCGCCACTCTCTCGTCCAAATATGACACCAGCCATGTTGGACGAGGAGAAAGCCGAATGCCTAGCTGATAGTCTCGAGGCCCAGTGCTCCCCTAGTAGCCTACCGATCGATCCTGATCACCTCCGAAAGGTGAACAGTGAGGTCGAGCGAAGGAGTAAAATACCCCTTCTAGATGTCGTTCCACCAGTTACTAGAGATGAAGTTGAGGAATTAATTAAAAACTTACGCCCCCGTAAAGCACCCGGCTCCGATGGTATCACCAATAGGGTGACCAAACTATTTCCAGCTACTATACTACAACTTCTTGTTGCTATATATAACGTGGCAATGACCAAAGGAGTTTTTCCCACCGAGTGGAAAGATGCCAAAGTCATAGGGTTCCTCAAACCCTCTAAGCCACCTACAAATCCCACCTCGTATCGCCCCATCAGCCTTCTCAAAACGTTTGGGAAGATTTATGAACGCCTGGTTTTAGCCCGCCTTCGCTCTTTTATGGAAACGAAAGCCATGCCTATTCCCGAACAGTTTGGATTTCGCGCCAAACATTCTCATCAAGTGCACCGCATCACGGAGTACATTCTTGCCAAACGCCAACGCGGCCTTAACACCGGAGCTCTCTTTCTCGACGTAGCAAAAGCGTTCGATAAAGTATGGCACAACGGGCTCATATACAAGCTATATGAGTACGGAGTACCCGACCGTCTCGTATGC